TCTGTATGGTTTTGCCCATCATGCTGCAGCTCAGTTTCAGGGTCTTGGCAATCTTCTTATAGCCTAGGCCATTTTTATGTAGAGCAACAATTCTTTTTTTCACATCCTCAGAGTTCTTTGCCATGAGATGCCATGTTGAACTTCTAGTGACCAGTATGACAGAGTGTGAGAGAGATAACACCAAATTTAACACACCTGCTCCCCATTCACACCTGTGAACTTGTAACACTGAGTCACATGACACCGGGGAGGGAAAATTGCTATTTGGGCCCTATTGTGACATTTCCACTTAGTGTACTCAAGTTTGTTGCCAACGGTTTTAGCATTAATGGCTGTGTGTTGAGTTATTTTGAGGGGACAACAAATTACACTTTTATACAGGCTGTACATGTACTACTTTACATTGTAGCAGAGTGTAATTTTTTCAGTGTTGTCACATGAAAAAATATAATAAAATATTTACAAAAATGTGAAGGGTGAACTCACTTTTGTGAGATACTGTTATTAATATGCTTTTAATATAAATGTATTGCATATATTTTCAGCACAGTTATTAAAGGACACTTTATATGAAAAGAGTGTGTCCTCTTTTATTCATCTGTTTTAAGCACTTAGTGACCAGACCGTTTTTCGATTTTCTTACAGTTAAGGACCAGGGCTGTTTTTACATTTCTGCTGTGCTTGTGTTTAGCTGTAATTTTCTTTTTACTCATTTACTGTACCCACACAAATTAATTATTGTTTTTCTCGCCATTAAATGGTCTTTCTAAAGATACCATTATTTCTATCATATCATATAATTTACTATAAGAAAAATTATAAAATATGATTAAAATATTTGATAGGCATGTGCATGGGGAAAATTTTCGGTTCGGTTCGGCATTCCGAAATTCGCGATTTTCGCAATTCAGGACTTCGGCAATTCGGCACTTCAACACTTCGGAACTTTGGCATTTCGGAATTTTGGGACTTCGGCACTTCGGGACTTCTATTGCAGCCGCGGTATAGCAAGTAGGGGCATAATTTACTAATACTAAGTAATCTTTACTTAGTATTAGTAAATTTGGCTGAAATACCAATTTAGGTTTTTCAGCCTTTTAGTAGATAGCTCCCTAATACCGTGGGAATTAGGGAGTTATCTACTTATTCATTCCTGTCATTACATTGACAGGCTAAGTAACTTACATTTTATATGATTGTATGTTACTTGATTGTTGTAAGTGTTGCAAATGCTTACAGCTGAATCCTGGCTATGTTTGAATACTTTTTATTTAAAATTGTATACAATGTAACATTCTTCTTCTTTCACTGGGTAAGTATATTAGTACTTAGGCAATACTGTACTTTGGAACTTCGACAACTTCGGCACTTCAGCACTTCGACACTTCGGAAATTCGGTAATTTCTGAACTTTGGGACCTCGGCAATTCGGACATTTGGAAGTACCCGAATGTCTGAATTTCCCGAAATTCATCTGAGTTCATATTCGGATCAAAACGAATTGCATATGTCTAATATTTGAATAAACACATCTTTTTCTAACTTTGACCACCAAAATCTGTTACGCATCTACAACCGCCAAAAAACACCCATGCTAAATAGTTTCTTAATTTTGTCATCAGTTTTGAAATATCCAATGTTAACATGTTCTAAGCTTTTTTTTTTGCAAGTTATAGGCTATAAGTAGAAGTAGGACATTGATGTTTCAAAATATATTTTTTTTAAATGTATCAATAGTGACATTGTAACACTGTTATCTGTCATAAATCTCTGCATCACACCTCACATGTACATATTTTTTTTATTTTTTTTGTAAATTCTTTATTTTGGTGGTTTTCAGTATTTTAAAGAAGTTGGGGTACAGAATAAAGATAAGGGGTGGGGTACCAAACATTGGGGGTACATTTGAGTTTGGTAGCTTATTACATTGTAAGTCACATAACTTATTTACAGAATTGTACTTTTGTTTACATCAGGATCAGAGTGGTCTACATCTCGTGTGGCCCTCCGTCCTTCCTGGTCAAAGTCTGCGGGGTGTTGTGTATACGTGTTGTGGGTTAGGTGTTTCTCGGTGTCTCCAGTTTTTGTCTTGTCTTCTTGTTTGGCTTTGGGGGTGTTGGAGTTTGCTCCTGGAGGTGTGTCTGGGTTGGGTTGGGGTTTTAGGTCGTGTAGTTGGGGTATGGTGGTCTTTGCTATGTTTTGATGTGGTGTTTAAGTGAGCTTGGGTGGTCTTTCTTATGGCCTGGTGTGTGGGGGTGGGTTGGGGGGGAAGGTTCCCAGTCAGGGCTATTCGCTATGTATTTTTTTTTCCGGTCGTTTATTTGTTGTGGGGGGGGAGGGGTACACTTGGGGGGACTATCACAGTCCTCTGTTCCTCCTTTTAGTTAAGCGGTACGGGGTGTTGGATCCATGGGTCCCATATCTTATTGTAGTGTTGTGTCGTGTCATGTAACAGTGCCGATAGTTTGTCCATTTGCATGGCTTCATTCATTTTCCTGATCATAGTGGCTAGTTGGGGTGTGGTTTGGTTTCCCCATTGTTCCGCTATCGTGCGTCTAGTTGCTAGTGCCATTCTTGCTATCAGTTTGTTCTGGGCTCTGGTAAGGGGGGGTGTGGTTTGGAAAGTAGCCACACCCAGGGGTCCTTGGGTATGTCCATATTAAGTATGTTGGATGCTAGTGTGGACACCTTTTCCCATATTTGTGAGGTCTGTGGGCATTCTCACCAAAGGTGGATGTAAGTGCCTTTTTGCCCACATCCCTTCCAGCATGAGTCCGTGGTTGCCCTGCCCATATATACATTTACATAAACATAAACATTTCTGATACATGTGGTAGCATCCTTGCTTGTGCCCTTCGGGTCTCTTTGGGACTATTCGTTCAGTCAGTTGTACTTGCCAGTTGTATACCTAAGTCTATTCGTGTCATTCTTGCGCCCGTCATGTTCCCTGTTGCCGGTTGCAGGTGTATATTTTTGTATGCCTATTTACCTGCCTTGATTATCCCTCTCCCTCCCCCTTGCATTGTGTGTTCTCTCCTCTCGTTGCCTTCCCATTTATGATGTGGGGTCCAGGGGTGTGTGGAATCCTCTGTGTCTTTGTCTACCTTCCCTCCTTTTTCCCCTTTCTGTTTGTGTGTTTCTATTTGGGATTTTCTAGGTCTCGTTTTCTGATATATAGGTGTTTGTCCGGTTGGGTACCTTTAGTCATGTCTGTGGTGTAGGGGTCCGGGGTGCCCTGCTTTCCGTGTGGACGTGTCCCCCTTTGGATCGTCTCCCCCCCCCCCGCTATTGAATGTCTATTGTTTTCCCTCACTCTCCCCCCCCCGCTCTGATTGTCTAGGTACATTACGTATTATCCAGGCAAGGAGTCTGTCATCACAGAGCGGGGAGCGCAGGGTGGGGGAAGCACCAAGTGTCCATATTGTCCTGAAATTGTTGTGGTCAGGCTGGAGTTGTAGTATTCTGGGTTCTCTCATTTTCTTTGTGTATTACAAGGGTGGAGCATTGTAATCTTGTCTTTTTTCTTTTCTCTCCGCTCTCCTCCGATGTTCGGATTTATTCAGTTCATCGGGGAGCTGGAGCTGGAGAATTCGGGAGGCGACGGAGATGGTCAGTGGATTCCGGTGAGCCCTCGGGAGGTAGGGGAGAGTCTTTGTGTATTCTTCAGGGGCGAGTTCAATCATAGGGTGCTGGTTTTCCCTTTTTGTGGGGTTGAGATCTGTGCATTATATATGTTGGATTTCTGTTAGGTTTGGGGGAGGCCTTTTTGGTTAAAGTTTTGTCTGTGAGGTGGTGGTATTTCCTCCTCATGTCTTCCACCATCGATCCCCTTTGTCGTCTGTGGGAATCTTTGCTGTTTTGCTGGGTGCGGTGACCTTGGTCTGTCTTTGGAGCGGTCCCTTCCCCTGTAGTTGGAGAGGGTAGTTGGGTTCAGTAGTTGTATGCCTAGGGAGCCCGCCATAGGGCCCATTTCGGCAGCAGAGGTGAGGATGTGGGTTTGGTCTTCTTTTCGAATGAGGAGTTTGAAGGGGTGTCCCCAGGTATATTTGATGCCTCTTTCTTGCAGGGCTAGTGTGAGGGGTTTCAAGTCTCGCCTCTTTTTTAAGGTAGTAGGGGCAAGATCTTGGAAGAGTGTTATATGAGCGTCGGCATATTTTGGTGGGTGGATTCTGGCTATTTGCATGATTTTCTCTTTTGTTTGGAAGTAATGCAGGCGTATTATTAAGTCTCTGGGAGTGGATATGTTCAGAGTAGGGAGGCGCAAGGCCCTATGAGCCCTGTCCATTTCTAGTAGTGGTGATGGTACTTCTGGGGCCATTTTTGCAAAGATGCCTTTTAGGGTTACCATTAGGGATTCTGGTGGTATTGTTTCCGGTAGGCCCCGGATCCGTATATTATTTCTATGTGACCTAGTATTTAGGTCTTCTAGGGAGTCCTCCATTGTGGTTAGGCGGCCATGGAGGTAGGAGATCTCCTGGGATTGTGCTGTGGAGGCTGTCGCCAGGGTGGTTAGACGTACCACTGTTTGGTCAGTGCGGGTAGTCAATGCTTCCACGTCCGCCCAGAGGCCTGTTAGTTGCTTGCTGATTTCTTCGGCCACATGTGTTTTAATGTCTGCTGTGGCCTCTCTTAACATAGACAGGAGGGCCCCTATGGTGAGAGGGGCCGAGGGTGTTGGTGTGTGGGCGCCCCATTCTGAATCAGATCCCTGGTCCTCCTCATGGTCAGATTGGGTAGGCCTCTGCACCTCTCCTGGAGTGCAGAATAACGTTGCTACCAATGGAGGTAGCTCCTTTTTCTTTTTCCCACCTCCCATCGCTGTAGCCGTGTTTCTGCGGTGTGTGAGGGGGTTTTGGAGTCGTGGGTGATGCAGATGGTGGCTGATTGAGTGCTTGGGGGAGAGGGAGCTGCAGGATTATGCGTCCATCTTCCTCCGAGGTTAGGCTCCGCCCCCATAATTTTTTTAAAGTATACAACCCAGGGTATTCAATATGGGGTATGTCCAGTCTTTTTAGTAGCCACTTAGTCACAAACACTGGCCAAATTTAGCATTTATATTTGTTTGTATGTTAAAAATTCAAAAAACAATTATGAACGATAACTTTGACCAGTGTTTGTGACTAAGTGGCTACTAAAAAAGACTGAACATACAGTTGTCTTCTTTTGCAAATGGTATGCCATCATGGCGCTATTCTCATTCCTGGGCTACCATACGCTCTCAAAGGCAACATAACCAATCTGGCAAATTTCAATGTGAAAAAATGGAAAATCAAGCCTTATATTTGACCCTGTAACTTTCAAAAACACTATAAAACCTGTACATGGAGGGGTTACTGTTATACTCAGGAGACATCGCTGAACACAAATATTAGTGTTTCAAAACAGTAAAATGTATCATAACAATGATATTATCAGTGAAAGTGCCATTTGTATGTGAAAAATGCAAGAAAAACTCACTTTCACTGATATAATCATTGTGATATGTATTACTGTTTTGAAACACTAATATTTGTGTTCAGAGAAGTCCCAAGTAAAACAGTACCCCCCATGAACAGGTTTTAGGGTGTCATGGAAAGTTACAGGGTTAAATACAGTGCTAGCAAATTAAATTCTCTGGGCTTTTGGCATGGGTTGTCAGGCAGATTCCTCAAATTGTAATGAATAAAATGACTTAATTATGAAAAAATATTATATAAATATATTTGTAGAATTTAAATATATATATATATATATATATATATATTTGTGTTAGGGGCACATAGCCGTATAAGCAGTAAAGTTCCGGTATAAGCGTAGGATAGTATAAAAGAGCAAGTCATTGTGGTGTGCAGGGACCGACGATACGGTAGGCCTGTAAATAAAGAGGGCCCACCAAGGGGTAAGAAAAGAGGAAAAAAGAAAAAGAAAAGGAAAAGTGTTGACCTCGAACGGTATGGAGCCAGGTAAGGGGTGTTCTTTAAATGGGTAAGTGAATAATCATAGGCCCCTCCCACAATTAAAGGCCAAACGGCCTTAATACTTGTGTAAGGGGCACATAGCCGTATAAGGAGTAAAGTTCCAGGATAAGCGTAGGATAGTATAAAAGAGCAAGTCAGTTGTGGTGTGCCGGGACCACCGATACGGTAGGCCTGTAAATAAAGAGGGCAAAAAGTGAATGATCAAAGATTTAGTTTGGTCAACAAATACATACAAATTAACCAGACATTTCCTTAAATGCATTTCGTATTTCTTGTACTGGTTGTACGGTGTATAAGCAGAAGATTTCCATCGCCCCAGTGATTTGATAATGTGCACTGGTATGTTGGCGCTGGAGGCTGTGGAGGCCGCCCCTATATGGAAGGAGTGACCCGAGTAGGTAGAAGGCTTGCAACCTTGCTTTGTTAACAGAGATTTGACATATCTCATGAATGTAGCGATAGTAAGCACTGAGCCTTGTAATACAAATAATGGTTGTGATGGTTGTGATGGTTGTGATGTAGGGTTTTGAAGGTATGAATCTAGGACCGTAACTGGGCACCATTTATTGTGGGTAGGATAATGTTATTTCTACTGGTGGTGCGCATTGGCTCGTTTTGGAATGTGGTAGAGCCAATATGTAGTGATCCATGTGTTTGGTGGGATCATTGAAGACATCTATCTGTCTGAGTGGTGGTGATGGTAGTAAACTCTCTTGGCCTGAGAAAACTGTAGAAGGCTATGTACATGGCCGCTTTAATTACTGAATTGGTAGTAGAATTAAATGGGTGTAAATCTAATAGGTCAGATAAGGATTGGAAAACTTGGTTGTCTATTGGTAATTTCTGAGAGGTATGTGGGGGGAACTGATTTCTAAATACCTCTGAGTATGTTCTTTATCTGGTATGATGACATGAAGCCATGGTTGTTTGGCCATAGGGTTAGCATGTGGTGTTGAATGCCTGTCAAATATAATTTAATGGTATTGTAAGATAGTTGTAGTTTAAGATGGCAAAAAGAAGAAAAACCTAGGATAGATGTCATGACAAAAGGTAGGGATATGTCGTGTTCCAATAGGAATCTTTCAAACAAGGTGAAGGCTCTGTTGTATGTCCTATGAGTATTGGATGAAAGTACTAATTGGGACAGTTCCCTGCTATGTTGCATGAGTATGTTTAATCCATGATTAGATGCTGGAACGAAGGAGTGGCTGTGGCTGCTTGAGTGGCTGTAGGAAGTGCTTGATGAAATGCCTGGAATTTAAATCAAGACAAATTGTCAGTGGCTATGTTACAAATGCCTGGTACATGAAAGCAAACCAAAAAGAAATTGTGACATGCGGCCAACCAAGTGAGTTTCCTTAGAAATCTCATGATCGTTAGAGATGATGAGCGGCCCTTGTTGATCATATGGCATGTAGCTTGGTTGACTGAGTAACAACGGACTGATGACACTGACCATAAATGACCCCATGCCACGGCAGCTGCAACAATAGGGTAGATCTCAAAAAGAGCTGCGGTAGTGGAGAAACCTTCCAAATCCTGGACTTCTACAGGCCAACTACCCCAAAGCCATTCGTTCCCGTAGATTGCTGCAAAACCTGTGGTAGACGCCGCGTCTGACCATATGGTTGGTGAAGTGTCAGACAATCCTGGGAGGAACATGCTTTTACCATTCCATGTGGTTAAGAAATTCTTCTACATGTGCAGGTCTGCCGTGGCTTGGATATCTAGGGACAGTCTATGATCGTCATGTCGGAAGTGTGGAAAAAGTGCATGAAAGCTCAGCCTTGTGGTATGATGCGCATGGCAAAATTAAAGGAACCTAGAAGGGATTGTAGTTCCTTGCGGTTGCAAGTACCAAGCATGAGGTAGTGATTGATGTTGTTGAGAATGTTCCCTATTTTGTCTTGTGGTAAACTTGCATGCATGGATGCCAAGTCAAGTTGTATGCCCAGGAATGTGATGATAGTGTCTGGGCCTTCAGTTTTCTTAGGGGATACTGAGACGCTCAAGTGGTCGAACAGACTAATTGCTTCCTTGAGGCTTCTGAGGGAAAGGTGTTCTCTTCCACTAACAAGAAGTCATCTAGATAGTGTATGACCAGGGCCGGCCTTAGGGGTGTGCGAGCTGTGCGACCGCACAGGGCGCCATGGAACAGGGGGCGCCCTGTGGCCGACACAGCTCACTCATGGCCGGAGTGCAGGGGAGCTAAAAGAGGTACCTGGCTGGAGGATTAATTATTCTCCACCCGGGTCTATTTAAAAAAAAAAAAAATCGCGGCAGAGGGGGCGGGGTTTACCGAGCGGCGGAGGCGGGGCTTATCGAGAGGCGGAGACGGGGCTAATACCTCCCGAAGCCCCTGCTGTACAGGAAGAGGGAAAGATGCTTCCCCATCAGCCAACTGCATCCACTGGAAAGAGGTAAGTGTGTGTGTGTGACTGTTTGCCTGTTTGTGTGACTGTCTGTCTGTGTGTGTGTGTGACTGTCTGTCTGTGTGACTGCCTGCCTGTGTGCGTGTGACTGTCTGTGTGTGTGTGTGTGTGTGACTGTCTGTGTGACTGCCTGTCCTTGTGTGTGTGTGTGTGTGTGACTGTCTGTCTCTGTGTGTGTGTGTGACTGTCTCTGTGTGTGACTGCCTGCCTGTGTGTGACTGTCTGTGTGTGACTGTCTGTGTGTGTGACTGCCTGTGTGTGTGACTGCCTGTATGTGACTGCCTGCCTGTGTGTGTCTGTCTGTAACTATCTGTCTGTGTGTGACTGCCTGCCTGTGTGTGTGACTTTCTATCTGTGTGACTGCCTGCCTGTGTGTGTATAACTGTCTATGTGTGTGTTACTGTGTGTCTGTCTGTGTGTGTGACTGCCTATGTGACTGTCTGTCTGTGTGTGTCGCTGTAGCTGTGCCATTGTTTGTGCCTGTGCCTGTATGTGTGACTGCCTTTAACTGAGTGTGTGTGTACATGCCTGTAACCGAGTTTAAATTTCCCCCACCCCTTCCTGTCAAGGCCGCACTTTGACTGACAGACGCTCACTCACTGACAGACGCACACTCACTGACAGACACACACTCTCATATACACTGACAAACAATGACATACACACATACACTATTACTTGGACACACACTGACAGATGCACACTCTCACTGACAGACGCAAGCACTCACTGAAAGATGCACGACTCCACTGACCGACACATACACACTGACTGACACACACTCACTGACCGACACACACTCACTGACCGACACACACACTCACTGACCGACACACACACTCACTGACGACACATACACACTCACTGACTGACACATATACACTCACTGACCAACACACACATTCACTCACAGACACACACACATTCACTTACAGACACACACAATTACACACTTACAGACACACACACACACACACATTCACTTCAAAATAAACACTCACAGACACACACACAGACATTTCCACTAACACTCACAAACTAATATTTTTTACATTTATTTTAAATCCACCCAGCCTCCCTGGGAAAGCTGGAGTGGATTTCTTACCAGCAGTCCAGTGTGGCTGCTGGGCAGGCAGGCAGGGGGCGCACAGGCTGAGTAAGCAGCGCTTAGTGATGCCGGGAGCCGGACTGACGTCATATTCTGGCTCCCGGCTTCATTAAGCGGCGCAGAGGAAGCTGAGCAGGAAGAGCTCAGGTGAGTATGCTCCTTCGCTGCCCGCTGCCAGCCTTGGGGGGGCTCAAAAGTGGCCAGCCGGTCAGCTCTTGAGCCCCCCAGGATGCGAGGCAAGCAAGGGATCTGCCTGGGGGTTTGGAGGGATGCTTTTTTTTGCCGCCCCCTGCAAAGTGGCGCCCAAGGCAGATGCCTTGTTTGCCTCGTGATACACACGTCCCCGGTGCCTGTGTGTGTTACTGTATTCAGGCAACTTGGTGGGAGGTGGGGGGGGCGCCGTGAAGACTTTTTGCACAGGGCGCCTAATTGCCTAAGGCCGGCCCTGTGTATGACTGTGGGGCATCTGGATATATTTAATGAAAACCAGCAGTGTTGCTGAAGTGTTTCAGCAAATATATCAAAGATTTTGGAGCTACTCTTTGACCCAAAAGTTAAGCGGGAGAAGAATTAGTAATTGTCTGCCCATTTAATGCCATGTAAGTGCCAGAGTGTAGGGTGGATTGGTAGCAGTTTGAAAGCATTGATG